CTCCCCGCGCCGCGGGATCCACCGTCCGGCAGAGGTGGGTGCCCGCCGCGGCTCCCCGGGGGACAGCGCTTGCCCCCGTCGTGCTCTGCTTGCCGGGCTCCCGGGCTGGTGCCCTCTGCCGACGTGGCAGCACGGGCTGATGGCAGGCCAGAGAAGGACAGCGCTGCTGGGGAGGGGTCTGCAGTGCAAGGGCTGTGGGGAGCGGCTGAGGGAGCTGGGGGTGTTCAGCCCGGAGAAAAGGAGGCTCAGGGGGGAACCTTATCGTTCTCTGCAACCACTTGAAAGGAAGGTGTGGCCAGGTGAGGGTCCGTGTCTTCTCCCAGGCAACTAGTGACAGGATAGGGGAGCACAAGTCTTAAGCTGCGTCAGGGGATGTTTAGCTTGGACATCAGGAGGAAGGGGCGATTAGACACTGGAATGGGCTGCCCATGAAGTTGGTGGAGTCACTGCCCCTGTAGATAGTCAAGGAAAAATTGGATATGGCACTTGGTGCCATTGTCTGGTTGACACGGTGGCTTTGGGTCATAGGTCAGACTTGAGGATCTTGGAGGTCTTTCCCAACCCAATTGATTCTGTGAAGTGTATTGTTTCTGCAGTCTGCTGGGCTGCTTGGTCCTAGAAGCTGGTGGAGTACTAACATGTTGTTTGGTCTTTGTTTCCTTCTGTCATCCCTTAAGGAAAAATGCCAGCTGTGGGACAAGGAGTGCAGGCCGTGCCACGTCCACAGGGACTGGTGGGATGTGGCGATTCTACACTGAGGACTCTCCAGGGCTCAAAGTGTAAGTTGGGTTAATAGGTGGTGGCAGGCTCGAGGGTTCGCCTGCTTATGTTGTCTTGCAGTCTTTGAATTAATAATAATCTGTCAGTGTTCTGCTGTGCATGGGAAAACTGGGTGAGTTGGTGGTTGGGATGACATTTAATCTGTAACCCTAGAGAAGAAAGTTACAGTAGTTTTAAAAAGGTAGGTACAAGCTGTATTTTGTAGTTGCCAAAGTTTACCCTAAGAGGTTTCTAAAGGCTATGAGCAATCATTTTAAAGTTGAGAAAGATCACTGGTCTCAATGTATTTAAGCATCTGTGTGCATGTTTTCATTCCCTTTTAAGTAAAAATCTTGTGTTTTGTCTTGTAATAGCTATATTATGATCCTGTACACCCCTTGAAAATACAGTATAACTGATATACCATATGCTTGCATCAGATGTTTTTGTTAAAAAACTGCAGATAAATTACTGTAGCTGAACTTGCCTAGTGAATAGCACGCCAATAACTTGTATGTCTCCATTTTCACAAGGTGAATATTCCAAGATTATGGTCAAATACCTGGTAGTGTCCCTTAAACTGTAAAGAGAACCTAAATTTTTACTCTTTTGACCAGTCTGAGTCATGCAGATGACTTTCTAAACAAACTGCAGCCTCATACTTAGGTAACAAAGGTGGAAGGTATAGTTGAGCTGATGAGTGCATGCCAAGTTATATCCTGTATGGAAATTTGTGCTTATTGTAGAATTACTGTTTGTGAGCTCTTGTTCTTACTGTGTTTTAAAGTCTTGAGATGCTCAGGGCTGACCCTGTTGCTTGTTCTTTTTTTTCTCAAATCCATTAATATTCTCTTTTGGAATTGTTCAAGACTAGGGCTACTGCTAGCTGCACAAATAGAACATTTGGGGAAGGGCTGGTGATAGACTACGTCGTGATAGTTCCATGTGTAATCCTTCCTTTGAGGTTGTCTTATGTGTTTTCATTTTCATATGCACTTGAAACTTTAAAAAAAGTATCCAGCAAACTACAAAGTGTAGCTGTTCTGCCTTGCTTACTCCATTCTGAGTCCAGAAGAGACAAGGCAAAGACAATGAGCAGCAATGGTGTTCTAGACCAAATCTATACAGATAGGCAGGGCAACTGTTTTCTCTGTTGTTTGGTCTACTAAAGTTCAATTTAAAAAATTAATTATGCCAAAGACAAAAGAAACCAGAAGGGCATTATGATTTTTTTTTAATATGCTTGTGATACAGGCTTTAACAATTCTGCTAAGTTTCCGTGTGAATCTTTTGATTTCACTTTTGGTGCTGAATGGCCACTCAGTTGTTCTCATCTTTAGTGCAAGCAGATCAGTAAAGAGATTTTCCCGTCTATTCATGTTGCGACACAGTGGTTCCCGATTTTAAGGTTTTGGAGCAGTGCAAGTGGTTTTTTTGGAAGCTACTTTCAGTAACTATGGTCAGGTTTCTAATGAAAGAATCAAATATATAAAAGTGAGTTGGCTTTACAAATCACCCCACACTAGATGTACCATTTTCTGAGCCATGGCTTGGTAGCAGCTTTCTTGCTTATGGCTTTCTAGATATTCTTTTTCAATTTTTTTTTTCCCATAGAAACCAATTGTTATTATCTCTGTCCTCCTTAGTAGGCTTTAAAGTGAGAATGAGTTATTAAGCGTTTGTGATTTCCTCAGTGAAGTGCTTCAGCTGAAGTTGTTTTTAGAAAGGGTTGTGATCACTACTGCATAAAGCAGTGGGATAGCTTAGCCTGGTAGTGGTGGCGGGTGGGCTTTTTTTGGTGTTTTTTTCATATTATTTAAATGGAAACTCTTAAAATTATTATGAAAAAATACATAAAACCACTTGAGAACAGGTTAATCCATACTAGCTACAATGAGGGGAATTTCTCTCTAGATAAGAAAGTTTTTGTATTTTATATCATGCAGAATTAGGTTGATGCTTTGGGTATTTTGTATCTGTGTTCAACATCCAAAATAATAAATATGTTGAATAGGCAAGTTGGTTCCCCTCAGGAAAGATCCTTTATTTGCATTACAAGATGCTTCAAGATGCATATGCCTTTAAAAACAATTACTAGTGGAAGGGAGTTGTGGAGGATTTGGCTGAGAGGGGATATGATCTTTTTCTCTTTAAAGCTTGGAGATTACATGCTTTGAAAAGAAAACTAAACCCGAACTTGTTTGTCCTTTTGGGTTACTTTGTACCTGTGGTTCCCGTACCTTGTCTTGGGCTTTCCCACGGACAGAAAGTCAAATTGAGTATAGTATGCAGCCTTATGAAAGACATGCTGAGAATGCACAGTAACAAATCTTTAGAGGTGTCTGAATCCATTTATTTATTTGTGGTGGGCTGAGAAGATGCAGGTGTGTAGAGGAGAATTGCAGGGTTTCAACAGGTTTTCTTTGAGACTGGAGGAAATGAGATATATGTGTCAGTATTGGAGAGCTGATTATTCTCTAGGGGTTCAATGTCATCTGCATGTTTAAAAAACACTGAACACACAATCAGTCCCCACTGTTTATTTCCATGTAATTCTGCTCTCATTAGTGGTGCTGCTTTGTTCCCACATTCCTTTGGCAGAGCAGCTTACCTATTCCTACTGCTAAAGGCTCCAATTAATTAAATAGTAATTCAGATACAGTGTAAGGACTATAAATTATGATTTATATTATGTAGTATATAAACCTTCATGTATACCTACACACACACACACATATATATATATATAAATAAGTAAAATCTATAAAATATATTTATTTATATGTATAAAATGCTGGGGTTTGAGAATTACATTCTGTAGCTTAGTGAAAGATACCCCTTGAAGGGGTTGCTTGTGTAGTCACTGGTATGTGGACTTTGTTTATTTTGTTATTGTTTTATTTGCTATATGCTTTATGCCTGTGTTTAGATTTCTCCATAAACAAATAAGTCTAAGTATGATAGATAATAATTGAGTTTTAAAACTCAATGTAAGGTTACAGTTGTGATCATTTCAAGTATGTGGATCATGATCTCGTAGAAAAATATGAGAGTAAACTCTCAAATCTATATTCAGTTTCCTTTTTTTAAATTTTATATTCTGGTAGCATTTACATGCTTCTAAACAGTACCCTGGAGGGTAATGCAGGCTGGATAACAGATTTCCCAATAGCATGTTGAAAATCAGAAATGACATTGTATGAAATAGCTGGTATGAAAGAGTGTTGTGTGCATTCATGTAATTATTGCATCTTAGAACAGCATGAAACAGTTGATTGAAGCCATCAACATGCACCCTAAGATTAACCTGTTTTTGAAAACATTACTATACATTTTCTGTACAATATATAAAAGTAAGAAGAAAAAAAAAATTAATTTTAGGTAAGATTTAATGATGTAGCTTTGCCACTTTGTGTATGTTTTTCAAGAAGGCCGAAGTCCCTGTCTCTCACCCACTGCTGCCATTGTTTTCAAATGAAATAAAACCCCTAAAATAACTAATGAGAATTTTTTGCCAAAATTTTAGTAGCCGCTAGAGGACTCTGTTGGTTTTTGTATCCTACTGCATCTTTGCTTAGGTGGCTATCTGAGTTGTAAACACAGAGGATACTTTTCCAGAGACTGTGGAAACAGTGATGCATAATAATGAACCATTAATGGCTTTTTTAACAAGTGGGGGGGTTTTGTTGCTCTGTTGTGCTTTTTTATGTAACATTTAGGGTGTATAGAACTGTCTTTATAACAGTGGCAGCAGCAGCAGTTTTTAATAGAAGTGGCTGTCTCATTTCCATGTGCCTTAAGGTGTTTCTGTGGGAAGGGAAGAAGAGTTTTCTTGTACAATTTCATATGAACTGATGAGCTCACTTGGCTGATTATGACTGGCCTTTGGGCAAGACAGACTTCTTTTTTATGTTAATGCATTTTCTCTTTATTTTTAGTGGACCTGTTCCAGTTTTGGTCATGAGTCTTCTTTTTATTGCTTCTGTGTTTATGCTGCACATCTGGGGTAAATACACACGTTCCTAGAACCAGCTGCCAACTTAAAGCATACATCTTGGACCAAAACTGTGGTGGATCCTGATTGTTCTTGGAGAGAGACTGGGGAAGCTTCCTATCACCTGTTGAAGTCCTGTCAACTTTGGCTAGAATACCGAATTAATTTCTCAGTTCACTGCTTGGGCAGCTTTAAAGCCTGCCATGGGTCATTTTATATTTGTATCTGTACACTTAGAATGCAGGTATTGCAATAAAAATTGTATATGGAAATAGAAACAGTCTAAACTGTATTTTTTCCTCTGCCAGTATACCACAGCTAACACGTTTTACTAGTGGTTTTCATAAATAAACATATTTCTGAGTAAATGCTCTTCGACAGTTCAAATCAGATTCTTCCAAACTATATGCTGCTATATAATTTTATGCTAGAAGATCTTTTTTTTGGTGGATGAAAGAGACAAAATCAGATTCACAAATATGAGAGGGTAACCACTGTCCTTGTGGAAATAAAACTGAGGTGCGAGTGCTGAGATGGTCATGTTCTTTTAACTTCAGAAAAATTGTTGGATTTATTTATTTTATTTCCTAAATCCAGGTTAAACTTTACTCAGTGCTCATTATACATAAAAGTTATATGTTTGTTTTTTCGAGCTGCACTTGAGGAACAACATGAACTGGTACCCAGCTGATTTTAAAAAGAATAATTGCACAGCTGTCAAAGACATTTTTCACCCTCGGTCACATGGTGTGGTTCTTGGGGCTGTCCTGTGCAGGGCCAGGAGTTCAGTGATCCTTGTGGGTCCCTTCCAACTTAGGATATTCTGTGATTCGATGACTGCAGGTCAGGACTCTTTCAAGGAAAATTAAATGGAATGGGAAGACTGCAAAAGCAATGCTTGCATTTCAAATAACAGGACATGCAAATAGGCTGAGATACAGCTAAGGGTTGCTTCAGATAATCACTCCAGTTTACTTCTGGATGTTCAGTATTTTCCTTTTGAACAGTGACACACCTCTTCCTTTTTAAAGATATCTACATATTTGTGCTTTAGCATTTCTATGCTAATATGGTCTTGAAGTTGGATGGAATGATTTTAGCCTGCTGTTCATGTTGAGTCCTGGTTGACATAGTCATGGGAAAAAAATATTCTTAGTTATGCAGCCTTGACAGAAATTCTAACTGCATGTTGTAGAAGCAGCCTCTCTTACCACCTTCCTTAAAGCAGTTCTTGAATTAGCATTACTTCTGAAAAGACCAAACCGTTCAGAACAAAAACAAGAATGAGGAATGTTGTCTCAAGGCTACAGAGGTAATAGTTTTGAGCTGTGCTAATGCCATAGTACCTAATGTAAATGTGGAGGGAAAGATAGAAGACTTGGAGCAGAAACTAAAAATTATCTCAGAACATGTAATACTAGGAAGGTGTTTTCAGAGGTTTGGAAGCTGAGGATCAGGGAATTTTGGAGACTCAAAGGCAGTGGTGTATCAGAACACTAAAGAGGTGGAAGCTGATACAAATAAATCATGCGTCAAAGGGAAAAGGATCTGTATATCATTTTCCTCTATGCATATGGAAGGGCAGTTAAAACACAAGGGAAAATAAAGTAAGTAGGGGGAGTAGCTCACCACTTCAAAAGGTGGAGATAAGGCTCTCTCACTTAAATGATTTGCTTAGCGAGGAAATAAATTCTGTATAGTCAGTGATTTCATTTTACGGCAAGAAAATTAAAGGGAAGAGCAAATGCAGGTCAGTTGTTGTGCTGACCATGTGAATAGACTCTGCTGAGCTAATTTGTGGTGCTCAAAGGAAAAGGAATGGAATACTCTGAAATACTTTAGGAATAAGGAATAACAGTAATATCAAAGCATGTAACCTCTTTTTTACTAGGTTTTCTAATACACTGTTTTACTGTTCCAGTATAGCAGGAAGCAATTTTCTTTTAAACACTTCCAGTCCCTAAAAGCTGTTTTCCCACATCAAATAATTCTATTTGAAGCCTACCATATTTTTCCTTTTTTGGTGTCCTGCTGCTTCTAAAGACCAGAATTGATGATGATCTTGGAAAAGTGATGGGGGGAAAGCTTATTGCTGTAAAACCTTTTAAAATTTTTGAATGCATTTAGTTCAACTGAGTATAAAAATGTTGACTATTTTGACAGTGCTATCCTTGTTTAAATATTTTGTTTTCTAGAATGGCCTGTATAATGGATTTTAGCATGCACTATCAAAGGAGCGTAATGTCTCTTCTTTTGCACAAATTAATTCCCACTCTTTCTTGGCTTTATACTTTAGTATATTTTAGATTTAAGTATCACCTCTGGTGATACTTAAGTTGGATTCAGCTAGTATTTTTCTTGTACTTCATTAAAACCAAGATTTCTCTATTTTATGTTTCCAAGTTGTCATTATTTAAATTATTAGCATGAATCTGTTGGATATTCATGCTTATATTCTTAGTGTTTCATGTACACGAGTTGTAGTGGAGTCTTGCAACTGATGTTTATCAAATTTCAGCTCCAGAGAGGTAAAGAAATGCAGGTTGCAAAGGCTTACTGGATTTTTGGCTAATAGTGAGTGTGAAATTCTGTTTGGCCTGGGTGAATAAATTATGCTGATAAACAGTAGCTAATCTGTGATACAGAAAACTAGTCTTTCAGTAACAAGTAGAAAACAAGGAAGATCAGTAATTTGAAAAGCTTTGTATCAGGTGACTATGTAAGACTTTGGATTTTTATGCCTAATTGTATGTGATTGAAATACAAGCTTGACTGAGCTGACTCTTGTAAATATCTTAGGAGCTGCAGAAGGCTCTTAAGTCCTCAAAGACCTTTACTTTGCCTCCTTAACATTAAGGATTCAAGATATCTGGAAGAACTTGCATTTCCATAGAAGAGATGATAAAGTACCAGAACCTTTTATCCTTGACTTAAAGTATTTGCAACCTCAGACTCCATTATCCCTCAGCTGAAGAAGGGGTTTTATAAGGAGATGGTTCTTTTGCACGAGTTCATTTGCGTCTTACGGTTTTCCTTCCCCCCCCAGCTATAAATCTGAGTATGAGAGCAGGCTCAGTCTAATTTAACAGTGACAGAAGCTAAAAGACAGTGTTCTTGAGGGTTGGAAGGAATAGGTAACTGATAGAAGAGGGAGATGGTCAAAGCTCCTGCTGTTCAAAAGCCTTGCATTTTTAACTTGTTACCCAGGAAGAAAAGGGGGAAAGAGGCTTCTTTAATGCCTTTATGATAGGAAGATTTTGCCTTTGCTCTTGCATGTATTTGCACACTGAAGTTGATCTCCCATGAGCTATTGGTCTGTAGGTACATGGGCTTCGTTAGTTTCAGTGTTTCAGAATTGCCTTTTGCCATCTGTTTCGAGGTTAATTCTACTGCACAACACACACATGTGCACACACATGCTCCTTCCAGTGGTTTTTGGTTTTGTTTTTTTTTTTCTGCAGAAAGAAATTACTTCAAAGTCTAACTTGTTATATACTTCCTGCTTTGGTAATAAGGCTACATTGACATCTTCATATTAACTGTTTATATAAATGTGTTTCATAGAAGACATTTCTTTTCTAAACTTGGCATTGGTAATAATACACTAAGAATAGTAATGATTCTCAGCTTCAGATCTCTGAGGCAGGGTGCTGGGTTTTTTTTTATTGAGGGGAAACTTTTACAACATTTGTGATTTCTGCTATGATTTCAGAAGTTGCTGTAAGGCAGGCTAAGTAAGAACAGATGTGAAGTTACTGAGTATATCTCATCCCTGACATGTATTGTTATCTTATCTTCCTTCTGTGCCCTAGTTACCACTTTTTCTCTGGAGACCTCCAAAGATCGTGAACTGTGCCATGTAGTAGGATAATGCTTTTATGCAGAGATATGTCAGGCAGCAACAATAATAAACAGGACAGACCCATTTTTCTTAAGTCAAAAAGTCAAGTTCATATGTGTATCACCACAGATTTGATACCGCTATCACACATGTGGCAGCAGGTTGCAAATAATTATCCTTGTTTTTTATTTTGAAGGATTTTTCACACGGTGCCTTTTGGAACAGTATCTGTGACTTTTTGACCAAACCAAGATTGACATAATCTTTGAAGTTACACTATTATTTCATAAAATGGAACTAAGCAAAACTTCCCAAGCACTGCTTCCTTTAAAGAGCAGCTTGTCTTAAAAAGTGAAAAAAGTGAAATTCCAGCTAGTTTAGTGTGATTTTTTTTTTTTTTTTAGTTTATGCTTTTATCACTGAGTAAATATAGTGACCTGTTTTCTTCTCAGATACTACAGAGAGATAGAAAATATGCTTGTAAATGCTGCAGAGATTAGGCATCATCTGAGTGAAATGTTTCCAAAATCAGAAAATAATTTGTGGTTAGTATGCTCTGGTTTCAGAGGGGCTGCATTCCCAACATTGCTTTGTTTTCAAATACTATTCTGTGAGACCTTCCAGTTTATTAGCTACTGTCTTGGCTGTTTTTCTGGTAATGTAATATGAAAAGAACCTAAAGCAATGTTGCCTTAAATTCCAAGATTGGCTGGTAAGTAATGTGAACTCCCGACTAACATAAAAGCGCCATGCAGTTGGAGTGTGGCATTTGTTCTAATCACTGAAGAAGGACATATGTGCTCCTCACCTCAGGGAGACATCTGTGAGGGAGAGAACATAACTGCATGATACAACTGTACAGAAACTTGTAAAGGACCAAACTGTGGTAATTCAGTGTGAATCTGAACTTGATGCAGTTGTGGGGTTTGGTAAACCACTTTCTAATTTTGTTCCATTTTTGTTTCCATATTCCTTCTTTTATTTTAAAAAGTAATTGATGAATAAAATTAATTAAGTGTAATACTAAATATCTTCTAAAAATTAGCACTCTTAACTTTCTTTAATCTCAAAGCAATTTTTTTAAAAAAAAATAATTAATTTTTTTTGTTTCATTGAAACTACGATGAAAAGTAATTGTAAGTGCCAACATTTTTCCATTAAATGGAACGTCACATTGAAATCAGCTCTTAACACTAGATAGCCACAACAGTATGAAATAGTACTGGAAATATGGGTACAGGTCATAGCAAAATGTACTTTGGTAAGAACTTCTGGATGTCTTTGATCCAGATCCCTGCTCAGAGCAGAGTAATCATCAAGGCTTGATCAGGGCCTTGATGATCACTGATTACTTGCTGAGGGCCTTCTGCAATTGCATTTTGAGAATCCCCAAGGAAAGGGTTTCTCTGGGTACCTGTGTCTGTGCTTAACCACTCT